AAAAAAAAAAAAAAAAAAAAAAAAAAAAAAAAAAAAAAAAAATGTTAAAATTAAAATCAAACAAAACTACAATAATAAAGAATGATCTAATGAATATCTGAATTTATTTAGATTACCTTATGAAGGTCGAAGTTTCCCCACTCTGCATATCCGTTTGGCTCCTGAAAATGGAGATCTTCCATGGACAGAATTATTAGCTATAACCACACAAAAACAAAGGAATCGAAAAACAAAGCAAAAAAACTATGAAATAAGATGCAGAACAGTAGGAAATTTTATTCCTTGCAGAAACATAAAGCAACAATAATAGAAAGATCAATAACTTAACTACGAAATAAGAAAAAGCAGCGATATTTAAATTGTTTCAATGTGTACTTTCAGGAGAATGATGCATCTGACTCAAAATTAAAGCCTCAGACCCAATTGACATAGCAGCCATTAACCCCCCCTCCTCCTCCTCCTCCTCCTCCTCACACCTCTCCCCTATTTCATCTCCAAAAGATAAAGTTGCATTCTCAATACAAGATTTACCAACTCCACATCGCGTTGAATCTTTGCCCTTCACAATCCCCTTCATCTCGATGTTACTCAGTTTGTCGGTGTCGTTGACTGGTATGTTGTCAACTGGTACAGCAATGGTATCCTTTTTGGCGTCTAAGTTTGCCTGCTGCTGCTCCAAAGCCATCGTAACCACTTCGGTTGAATTGGTAACTGGTAATGACTCCTCTGGGTTTTCAGGACACTTGACCACTTGACTGGCAGTTGTTGAAGCCAAATCCTCCAATTCCACCAATGCATCAGTCGCCTCAACTTCGGTTGAATTGCTCGCGGTTATGATAGGTGCCTGTGCTATTTCCTCACCAACAGTTGAAACAGGAGCCTTAACTTCTTCACTATTGAAATTGAAGCCGTTCTCTTCAAGTCTCCTCTCAGAGGAAGGCATTCCCTCAGAATCAACTTGCATCCCCTTCTCTTGAAGTGTCCTTTCTGAGGATTCCTTTTCCCCAGAAATAGCTCGCATATCCTTCATTTCCATTCTCTGCTTTTTGTACAAGTTCATTGCGTGCTGCAAAATATTTATACCAGTTATTACAAGCTATATAAACTTTTGAGCATCATTCTTGGCCAAGAATCTAAGTCTATGTTTTACGAACATAAAGTAGCATAGTCATCACAGGTTTTTTTCCCCATATTTTGTCAAGAGAGAAAAGAAAGGGCCATCGAAATCCCTAGATCATACGCTAAGACTAACAACAGCTTCATAGTTCTTTAATATTTTATAACGTGAGAAAAATGAGCATTCCAAATTGCACCCATCTTGCAGTCCCGAGAGTATCAAATATCTAAAACCTAATATGAATACTAAAGCACCATAGACAACTTCAATTTCCTACACTTGAAGCAGCCACGTATTATACCTGAAAAACCGAGCTCTTGTTTAGATGGAAAAATGACTGATGCGCACTATTCGAAGAGATGGACACTGCTCCCATGCCACCCTGTCAAGAATATGATGTAAGTCATGACTAATAATTAAATTCTTATAATTATGAGAAAGGCATAAACAAACATATGTTGTCCAGGACTTTACCTCAAGTACTATGTAAGCAACAGTTTCCTCATCTGCAGTCACGCAGTGCTCAATATCCATTAATCTCTGACACTGGTGGTACAAATCAGGATATGAAAGTTCTGTGGAAATCTTAAGCTTAGAAAGATAAGAACAACTAAGTTTAGAATTATCATCCATCGACTGTTCAAGAGGAGTTGGTGTTTCAGAGAGTAGTTCAGAAGTGTTGGGGCTTTCCTTTACAGAAGGCATCTTAGGCCTTATTTCAGAAGTTTTTGTCAAAATAGTGTCAGCACTCTCATCACACACCTCCCTATTTGATACATCATCAACAGGATCTTGCACCGAACGCTCATCCTTCTGAAAATGGGAAGGTAATTCCCTTTTCAGGGAACCACTCTGTCTCTTCCACATTTCAGCTTTGGACTCCCATCCTCGACCATTCACCATCTGTCTGTTCTCATCCCATTCCGCTCCGCTATAAATGTGAGATTCATACCTAAACATGCCGTTATTTCCTTCCCATCCATGTAAGTGAGAAGGGCTTGAACCATCCAACATATTCTGCCACCCTAGTGGATGCATGTGACTGGGAAATCTTTCAGCATCAGGCAGCCGATAAGGAATTCCAGAGTGATTGATTTCAAGTGGAGGCCTGATACCAAACAAAGGTGGTGCAGGAAACTGTGGCATAATTGATTGGAAATTTCCATGAGGAGGTCCATGCTGGAAAGGGATAAAGCCATTTGGTAGTGGTGCTGTCCAGTTTGGAATGCCTCTCCAAGTGTTTCCATGTATTCTACCCGGATCATTGCCCCTTCTGAAACGGCTATTAGAATTGAGTCTGCCATCATCTTCTAGTGAACCATCAAAAGGAATGTCAATTCCACCCCTAAAACCAGGGCGTGGATGGAATGGTGATGGATTGCTCTGACTACCTTTGCTAAAATAGGGCTCTGCCAGAGACGAACCATCCATCGGAGGTGGAAGCTTCTCTCCTTGTAATTCCCAGCTATGCCTATCCTTATTAGAGGAGAGGTCTTTGGCATCAATAGAAGTGTTGTGCCTTCGTCCACTTTCTTCAATGTCAACATTCTGAAAAACATACAAGAATTGTTAACATTTACGATGTCATTCACCAATGAAAGAGATCTTTTTGACAAGCTCAATACTGATAGATACCTTACAATTTAAAGACCTATCTCGTGACAGTTCAATAGCATTGCCACCATCTGTTTCACCAGTTTTATCCGAATAAGTGTACTTGGAACTCTTATCTTGTACTCCTGACAGAACACCTTTATCTCTAGTAGAAATGGACTTGGACCTCTCTTCCTTTTTTGGGTATCGGTCTCTCAAATCTTCCTGGTCTTGATGCCTAGAAGGAAAAAAATGAATAATACATGAACATCCCATTGCTTGAATAATTCTTGCAACACACAAACTAAATAAAATCTAATAAATCTTCTTGCCTGCCTTCTGATCAAATTAATAAGTGAAAATTTATGGTTGAGACATAGTCAAGCAGTTGAATAATAGGGACAAGCATAACAAAATCGCTATCAATGGTTGCATCATTTCCTATCAAATTATTCCAGAAAAGAGAGAATGAGAAAAAATTACTGCACAAGATTTAAGATACAAAATGGCATGGACAAAGAATCCTCCCTTCCCCATCCTCAATAATAACCAAGATCAAGAATAAAATGACGCGGGAAGATGTGGTAAAAACCCCTTTCAAGAAAAGAATCAAAGAGATTTTTTGTGGTTTACTACATAATGAGAACGGAAAATTTTTCAACTACTACTGGTCTCTGAAGCTCCTTCTCTGATGCAACTAGTGTGCCCTGATGCCTTTATAGAAAAGACAAAAGCTTCGCTTTGTTTGGATGATTTACAAGCATTTATATAGTATAGAAACCAGCAAGAGAAGAGCAGAGCAGATAATATGTTCGAAAATTAAAAAGGCCATCCCAACCAATTAAAAGAACATCATTGAACAAAATTTCTCACAGCAACAAGGACTTCAAACACACCATATACTATGTGTTACAATAAGGAAAAAGAGATGCAACCTGTATTCATTTATGCCACCACGTGACAGAGAACTGGGTGAACTCTTTCGTCTATGGCTGCTTAAACTAACATCAGCATGACGAGATTGTGATTGAGATTTTCCTCTCTCAACGTCTGAGTCCACTTTATCACTGCTTAAAGATTTCTTTTCTTCATTTGCATGGTGGTGACTATTCTTCAAACTTTTAGATCTAGCATCAACAGAATCATCATGATCATGTGGAGATCTTTTCTTTCCCCTACTATCGACATATTTTGTGTACTGATCCTCAAGATGTGATCCATCACGGTCAACGTCACATTCATAATCAGAGTAACGGTCACGAGCACGGCTCCGACTACGATCCTGTCTCCCATCCCGATCACGGTCGCGATCGCGATCGCGTCTACGCCTACTCTCTTGATCATGATCACGTTCATACACATGGTGGCGATCATGATCTTGATCACGCATGGCATCTAGATCGCCCTCACGTTTGGCTTTGGTTACCTCTCGATCAAGATCACTATCTTGAGGCTTGTTTCTCTTATGGTGCACATCCATAGCATCCTTCTCATCTCTCAAATCTCTGCCATTTGACCTGCTGATGTGATCTTTTACAGGTTGCTCATATCTTTCCTTGCCATCCCTATCAGTATCTTCCCGGTGCTTGTCCCTATTTCTCTCATCCTTATGCTTCTCATTCTTTCGTCTTCCATCCTTCACAACATCATTCTTTGTGGATAGCTGTCTATGTTCCACATCTCCTATATCATCTTTATGTTTATCCCCATCAAAAGAACCAGCTCTCTTCCTTACTCGTACCTCCAGGTGATTCTCTAATCCAGGGCTATGCAACACATTCTCTGCGCATTGAAAGTGCAATATGTCACGAACTAACATATTTACACAAGTTCCCACAAAATGATAAAAACAATTGTAAACTAATACTCAGTCCAAGATACAATGGTATTGTTCAAGTGGATCACATTTTATCTAGTGATGAGACCATGGGAAAAAAATTAATTAATAGTTAATACTTTCCCAAGTACAAAAACCAGCACCAATTTTTTTTTTTTTTTTTTCCTTTGGTAAGAAACTGCAGTTTCATTGATAAAACTAGCGCCAAAAATACATCATTTAAAGAAAGTGTATCACATAATATAAACACAAACAAGATGACTTATAGGGTACTATTTCAACTAAATTTTCAAAAAATGAAAGATGAATAAATTCATAATTCAAATCTAGTATGACCATGACTCCAAGTCGCCTAATAGCCATAGAATCAAAATACTCTGGCTAACATAACACTCAATATAGCCCCAAACAAATCCATACGTTCTACATGCAAATGATACCAACAGGCACAATCAGCTCTGTCTAACATAACACTCAGTAAAGAGAATGTGAGTGAATGAACATGCGTGTCAGAGAACAGGAGAGAGAGAGAGAGAGAGAGAAGGGATTCATTAGTTATCTTATATGGAGAGTAAACCAAATTGTAGAAGAAAATTTGATCAATTAATGTTTAAGACCCACATGTTGCACAAAATTAAAATGCATTTCGTACATGTTGAAATAAAATCCAAAAAATACTTCTCCAAAAGCTAGTACAATCCAATTCCTAAGATTAACCAATTTTGCAAATCATGCATATATTCCAATCAAATCTGATAAACGTCTAAGATTTGTAAAATGTTCAAACTGACAATTGATCAAATAAAATCAGAGTTCAACAACCCCAACCAAATAAAAGGAAGAGTAGAGAAGTAAATCCAGACAGTTCGAAATTCCCTTTAATCAAGTGCTTGCAGTTTAGGTTGTAGATTGCTTTTCTGACCTACTTCTCCTTCTCACTCTCTAAAACCTTGGCTACTCCTGGAGAACAAGACAGGAAGAGGACACCCTTTGGATGAAGAAGATCTTGAATGAGAAAGGTCCTCTACAAGAGAACAAGGCCGTGAAAGGAGTTGAAAAATGTAAAATATTGTCATACCAGTAGCGAAGGACCTAAAGAGGTAAAGGAGCTTTTTTTTTTTCTCTTTAATATGTATCCCCCTAGCCTTGAAGTTTGAAATGTGATTGATCTTATACAAAGGTTGTGATCGTTGGTAGAAGTAGATATGAGGAGATTGATTGATTGGAGTAGAATGGTTGTGATCACTTGGCAATCCTTCCATGCCGATTGGTTTTCTACATCAAGTTTGATGCATGAGAAAAATCAATCCATTTCAACCAGACAGAGAACTTCTTTGTCATGGAAACACAGACAAGGCAAGAGGAGTTTGGTAGTCCTTTGGAATCTCTGCCTTGAAGTTCGGAGAATGGTGTGAAAGTCTTCACGCAGAATCTCACCAGACCACACACTCAATCAAATTTTACATTCATACTTCACTAAATCAGTCAATAATAGGATCTTATTATAATCATATAATCCTTTCAATTTCATGCATACATACACACAAACAATAATAACAATAACAACAACAAGAAAGAAATGAAATAATTACCACCAAATTTTTATAGAATAACAATTTGTATTAGCGTTGAGATAAGACAAAACACATCGAGGGCTAAGGGGTTACCACCATTGTATCCTTTAGTACCCAAAAAGAACTATCATGTATAGCATAAAATATGGCACCCCAAAAAGACAAGCTCCACTATCCTCGATAATTACAGTTAACCCACATATCATTTCATACAGAACATCTTCAAGCAGAGAGTGACTATGATGATAAAAATGGTACTTGAAAAGTTTTACATTTGTAACATGGAGAAATTCCAACGATTAGTCTAAGATCTTCGTGGGCAGCTAACTGTTACGTTAATATTGCATTTTCAAGCTCACCAAAGTGGCCCTGCGTCATATCTTTTGATAAAATGAATCTTTAAAAGAAAAGCATGCTACCCGATTATGAAAAGCAAAAGATACAAGTATATAGTCCAACCATATAAGTAAATGGAACCAGATGACCAACATCTCCAACGCAACAGGGAACACTACAGAACCATGCAAATCAACCCGTTAAACCTAATAATGAAACTCAAGAGAAATGTGGATACTAATCAGTAAAGATAATGAGCATGTTCAATAAGAAAGCCCTGATATGCTGAATTTGTACAGAGAAATGGATACATGGGTTGCAGAACGATGATAAAACCAACTAATAATTCAATGTCTGACCTGTGCTCCTTTCCACTTGCTTTTCAACTCGGTGTTCTTCGCTTGCAACCACCCTGTCACTTCTACCTTCTCTGCCTTTTCTTTCCTTCTCCCTATCCCTCTCCCTTTCCCTTTCCCCTCCACCATACCGACCCTCCTTTCGGCTCGACTCGCGGTGCCTTCCCTCGCCCTTTCCACTATTCTTCTTGAGTTCTTCGCCATCACCCTGCAATACAACACTCTCGTCCCTCCTCTTGCTCTTTGAATCCACCGACGGTTTTGACTTTTTGGAAGGAACACCATGCTCCTCATCGCTTCCCCCATTCCACCTATCAGTCGTTCCCTCATCATACCTCTCCTTACGGCGCTTCGAATGTCCGTGCTCTTCCGCTTCCAGATTCTCAGAGCCGTAGAAGTCTTTTGTATCCTTGGAATCGAATCTGCGCTTCTCACTAGAAGCAGTGTCCTTCGATACCCTACTCCCACTCTCTCTGCCCTTCCGATCCCTCAGACTGGAATCATTTTCCGAGTCTGAGGATTCCCTAGCATCCTTCAACCCATGTCTAGTAGATTTGTGCCTCGAACTTCTCGGCATACTGAATCACACTGAAAACCCTAATTCCAAACAAACTCTCCAAGTAAATTAAAACGAAACAAAAAGAACCCTAAATTACAAATCTTCCAGCGCTATCCAGCAGCTCGACTGGGTAAAATCAAAACCCTAGCAGCAACGCCATTCCTCACAAAAGGAAACAACGCCCAAATCAGGGATTCACACTGAAATAGCACGGGCCTCACGCAACAAGAAATGCGAAAAAGAAAAGAAAAAAAAAGGAAAAAAGAAACCCTAGAGCGAGTGAGCTAAAGGGATCCCCGGGAAGTTAAAGTGCCGGCCGAAGATAGGGCGACGGCGGCGAAGAAGAGAGGAAAACGGTTTCTTGGGAGTTGGGGGATCGCTGATGCCCCTGCCCACTTCGCCGGTCACCGGACCACCGTTGATCTCAACAACCCTCAGCCGTCGATTTCTTCTCTCACCCAATCTAATCACTTCGCCAAAAAGCAAAGCAAGCAACTCCCAACACTTTTCAAAACACGACCTCAATAATATTCAATCACAAATTGTAATTTATTATTTATCTTCTAATATTTATTTATCAGGTTATACCTTCTTTTTTAAAAAAAAAAAAAATACTCGACCATAGTTTATTGAATAATATATCCATTATTATTTTAAATTTGAACTACAAAAATCATTCTAAATATTATAAATTCGACAAATTTCACTTCAACATATTGTTAAACCCAAGAAAAATTAAATTATATTTTAGTAAAATTTTAAATACGTTTAAAGTTCGGAAACTTATTTGATACAAATTTAAACTTATAATTTAACATTATTTTTTAGTCCTCGTGTCATAAAAATTTTAAAACGTTTAGAGCTATAAAATTATTGAAACTAAATTGAAACAAAACTCAAGCCAATTTTTTTTTTTTTTTTTAACTTTGATTTTAATCGATTTATTGCCATGCAAGCGATCTAGCTGAGATTGAATGGATTTCGGATTAGTTGTATTAGTGACTCGAGCCATTTGAATAGAGTTCTTAACCCAACCCAATTCAACCCTCTGTTTTTTATTGGGTTGTCGAGTTGTTTTTCTTTTTATTATTATTATTTATTTATCTACTATACATATTATATTAATAAATAATATCTTACCAAACTCATATATCAAACATTCACAAGTCACAACATATCGTTACAAATATAAAATATAGTTCATAATGATTTAAAAGTAAGATAGGTTGGGTTGAATCACAACCTTATTTTCAAGTTGGTCGAGACGACCTAACCAAAAACATATCAACTCACGAACCAACCTAAAAACATATCAACTCACAAACCCCCAAAAACATATCAACTCACGGATTTTGATCCGACGAACCACATCCGTTGATTCTTTTCCTCCTCCCAACGCCTCATGGAAAAACAAAGAGAATAAAGGGATAAATGCGATGGAATATTCTCATAAAGAGATTCAATTTTCTGTTTGGATGCCAAGAAAATTGGTCAAATTGCCCGATCAAATTCTTCCACGGATGCTATTTTCAAATTTTACTGAATTTTAATTTTAAGATAATAAATTTACACGTTTTTATTATTCTTTAACAGTAATTGTAAATATTGATTATTTATAAACTTAACAAATTGTCACTACCATTTATCTAATATTTTAAGTAAATTATATTGTCAATCCGAAGAATATTCTCTATTTTTATATTTTACTCTATATATACGGTAAAATAATACTACGACAAGTTACAATGGTTTGATTTAGATATCTGTTTAGAAAATTGATACGTCTGAAATCTTCTATACAGTTTGATGAGAAGATAATAAAGAAAGCATAAGAGAAGACCTATGCTCGGAGTTTCGAGCAACAGGCATGTGTTTTCTTCCTCCCCTCGACCAGTGGGCGTGGAGCTTTAACAGTTCCATACAAAGAAGAGAATCAAAATCAGAATGATTCTGATAACATTCTAGGCAAATGCAAAAGTTTGCAACAAATGTTTACAGAAATATTATTGATTAACATCGAATCGTCACGCTAAGCTTTCCTCGACGTCGGATGGAGAAGATCAAAAGGTTCCACCTAACTGCATTGACACAAAACATAGAGAGATTAGAAAAATCATGGAGTTTGAAAAGCTCAAATGATAATATCAGAACAAACATCCGTCCATGTTTAAGACTAAAGTTCATTTTCAATTGTTATTGATTTCACAATTCTAACACGTGCCATAAAATTTGTGAATGCATGTATCATATCGACGTAAAACAGACTATTTTTGTGAGCTCCCTCGCCGGTTAAAGATGAGAATGAAACATTATTTATAAAAGTGTGGAAACCTCTCTCTAATAGACACTATTTAAAACAGTGAGGCTGACGATGGTACATAACAGATCAAAGTGGACAATATCTACTAAAAGTGGACTTGGACTTTTACAATATCTGCTACTGCTAGTAGATATTGTCCGCTTTGACCCGTTACATATTGCCGTCAACTTCACGATTTTAAACGCGTCTACTAGAGAGAGAACACCCTTATAAGAAATGTTTTGTTCCCTCTCTAACCAATCAACGTAAGATCTCAAAATTTTGCTTACCAATATAGCCTCTATCTCTCTGTCGGAGACAGGCGTACGCTTTGGCAGGAGAGACGCTTTTCCTCCCACGGCCGTGTCTTGGAGCGGCGCTGGGACGTTGGAACCCGAAAGTGCATAGTAACCAAGGTTTTCTGTTGAAGGGCGCTGTTGAGATTGGGAAGAAGATCCTAAAAGAAGAAATTGTAAGATTCATCAGGCTAACAAAATAAGTTGGGAACTTTGTTCAAGAAAGAATTTGTAATTTGTTTTACACATGAACTTAACCAAACATTATCAAAAGAGTTAAATGCAAAGGCTGAAACTAATTCAAATGCAAGCACGAGAAGCTTTTAAGTTATCTTAGTTCAACAGATAAGATATCAATAATTATTTTAAATGTCGATTTTGTCATCCCGCAATTATTTGATAATCATTACACTTCTTATTTTTTTAAATTAAGCATATGAATACGTTCTTTGTTCTGTATCCATTTTTTTGAATTTAGTCCGGAATTCAAATGTTTTCTTATAAAAGATGGAATTTTTCGAGAAAATAAATTCAATTTTCAAAAAACAAGCTCCCAAAAACCAAACACGGCCTAAGGCCTCTAAATTGACTTCAAACCTTCCCAAGCTAGACTAGAAGTCATAAGGAAAGTGTAACAGGCCAACTCCACCGCTAGTAGATATTGTCTGCTTTGGCCTGTTATATTTGCCGTTAGCATCACAATTTTAAAATACATCTACTAGGGAGAGGTTACCACACTCTTATAAGAAATATTTCGTTCTCCTCTCCAATCAATGTAGGATCTTACACCAAGGAATCAAGAAAGTATAAGGAAGGAATCAGAAGAGTCTAATGAAGATTTCCAATAACATATAGGATAACTTAAAGGAAGAGTGCAGGGTCGCCTTAAGCCAGATACTAATAAATCTTAAGAACCAAAGGATTGCTCAGAGATTACTTCCATCAACCAAACTGAATCTCACCCAAATTTTGTAACAACAAATATGGATCGAGACAGGATATGAAAAAACACAAATACAGTCATTCTTAAAAAACTAGGCACAGATTACAGTAAGGGTATGAATCCAAAATCAATAAGTTAATGCATTTGTATGCTTAGATATGTGTAGAGCTCATATTAACTTCGCACAATTAGCGCCTGGCATATGTCCATTAAGCTAACGAGTATACAACACGTGACCAATAACTGTTAGAACATCAGCATCGAACATAGTACCAAAACTAAAATTGTGCTTAGATTTATTTCAATACCACCCAACAGAGGAGAGTATTCTTTTACGAAAACGAAATTGTTGACTCAGCTTAAACACCCAGTGAGTTTCTGGTTCTGAACAAAACAACCAAACAGACAAGAAATCTTCCATAGGAGGAACATAACGATTCACTCAGTACCTAAAAACAGTGAATTTCTGCTCTACACTACCAAATAGAACCAGAAATCCTCCACAATAACAAAATTCTTCCACAGGAACAAAAACTTGCACCAATTCCAAAACCCAGTGAGCTTGTGTTCATACACAACCAAACAGAAACGGAAAATTAGTAAGAAATGTTTCTTAACTTTAAAAATTTCTAATAAGAGCTTGAATTTTTAAATTTGTGTCAAATAAGTAATTAACTTTGACAAATATCTAATAAATTTCTAAACCTTTGATGACTAAGAATTCAAAAGTTTCTTTAAGAAATGTAAAAGCGTGAATGGTAGAACAAAAATGAAATGATTATCCAATAAGACAACATTATGTATAAGAGATTCGTTAATTTAAAAAGATATTAAATGTGTCAATAACTTTTAAACACAAAATTGAACGTTTATAGATAATTAGAAACAAACCGAGATTAAACTTATAATTTAATCGAAAGTATTTGCAATTTGCCTCAGTTTCTAATCCAATGAGTCTATGTTTCTACACAAACAAACAGTGGGAGCACAAAAATTTCCACAGGAACCGAAGAGTTAACCAAATTTCTAGCTAATGAGTTTCTGTTTCTATACAACTAAACAAACAACAAATCTTCCACAAGAACAAAACAATTGAGTCAGTTCTAAACCAAAGGAGTTCCAATTTCTACACGATCAAACAGACAAACAAATTCTCAAACAGGAACAAAAAGCCAGTGAAATTCCGATCCTCTGCAACCAAACAAACAAGCAATCTACCAGAGAGTACCAAGAACTCATCCACAAGATTCAAAAAATTCAAACAATGTTAGAAAGAAATTTTCAAACAAAAAGAAGAATAAGGTGGAGAAAATCGAAGGAATTAAAGGGTGAAAAAGAGAGATACCTGAAGCTGAAGATTTCGGGTGCCTTTCGGGGAATTTAATGCGAGGAATTCGCTTCAAAAGATGCCCTTCAACGCCCATTTTCTTCTTCTGCTTTACTCTCTTAGTTTCCAATTTGCTTTCTATGGCCGCGTTTGGCTTTGATAGCAATAACGCTGACGCTGTTAAAGCATGTGAAGGATTTGGGTTTTTTATCCAAACACGTCTCTACCAGGCCGCAATGAAACAAGGACACGTGGTGTGTTCTAGCGTCCAACACGACGTCGTATTGAAGCAGTATAAATATTGATATTTTTTTTCACGTACTAACCGTCAGCCGTCTGCAGATCCGTTTGAGAGCGAAGAAGAATGTCGAGCAATCTCACCCGTCTATTCTCGCCGCCTAGTCTCACCGCTCTATCGGCGGTGAATCGCGTCACTTCCACTTCGGTGAGTCGACTCGTCTCCTCCTCGGCGAATCAACAACCTTCTCGATTGGAGCAAGGTGTTCCCGGCGAGGAGCAACGAGAAGCTGGAAAAGGAAGTTTGCCGGATCAACACGAGGCTGCCGGAGATGATCGAGATAGTGAAGATGAGGGAGCTGATGTGAACAAAGCGACTGGCGAGGTCGGTGGACCTAAAGGTCCCGAGCCAACTCGCTATGGCGATTGGGAAAGAAACGGTCGGTGCTACGATTTTTGATATTTCGAGGTTAGATTCCGAATAAGATCTCAGGTGATCCGATTTCTGTAATTCGATTTCATCGCCTTTGTTTCTTTAATTCGAATTATAGTTTCGTTTTTTCTGTTGATGGATTGATTTCGAGATAGAATGGAAATTAGAATAACGTTATCCAGCTTTTCAATATTTCTTGATTCTGGTTATCTTCTTGCATTCATATTCTGTTTTAGCCAGTATTTATCAATTTGTGTCCAAAACTTGCTATGAACTGTCTGAATTTCAATAGCTAGTTGAACAATTTTTTTTTTAAGAAATTGAAGGGGGGAGACTAGTTTCTTAGGAGGGAAGGATGGTTGAAATCTTCTTATCAAATTGACTACTTGCTATTCGTTGAAGAATTTTGTGATTGTAGAAATCCACTTGAACTGTTCTTATCAAATCATCTTCACACAAATTTGATTGAGGTTCATTCAAATTCTGAACATTATGGATAAACTGTGTACTTAAATGAGGTAGTTCATTTTAGTTTCTGTAGAATCATTGCCTTCCCCAAAATCATACTAAAGAGTAAAAACCAATCTATAATTAAAAAACAAGCAAACAACACACCCAAATCTGGTTCTAAAAACGCTCAAATTCATCTGAAAAAGGAACACTCAATTCATCGAGCTACTGGAAGAACATTTAACCCAGCATCAATACTACCAAATCCAACAAAACAGTGGAACTAAAAAAAATCAACACTCACAAAACTGAAACATAGCTATACATTTTCAAAAAAAAAAACAACGACAATACTAATGGAGTATTAATTTTAAGTTTAAAGTTCAATTAAAATGGGGGAGAGTGAATCTTGCTGATGAACAGAGATGTGATATTCCATCCTTTTCCTCTTACTTAAGGAATACGTATCAGAGAATGAGGATTGCAAGATAAGTTATAAGATGAGGAGTTTATGCAAAATCGACGGTAAGATAAGCTGATGGCAAATGGGCTGAGAATGATTGAAGCTTGATTGAAAATGACTACGAGATGGCTGGGTTGAAAATGAAGTGCTTGGTTGGCTTTTAGTATGCTTGGACGATTGAAAATGACTAATATTTTTTTAGTTCCAAGTTTGAATATAATGTTCTTTTGCTTCTTTATAAATCATGTGAGATTGGAATATATATATAACTTTGCACCCGGTCGAGTTGCTTTGTCAAGAATGACATATTCGCAAAGTTTCGTCGCTGGTAACCAATGTTTTTCGAGTAGCGTCTCGTAAGCATCGTGATTCTTGCTCAAAAAACAGATCAAAGGCGTTCGAACTAACAGATCTTTGTCACTACATCAGTTCGATATCAAAAAAGAAGAGGAAATCAGAGAATAGGCTAGGCAAGATTAGCTTCTCCCCTAGACTTGAAAATGAACCAACATTCCCATTGGACACAAAAAATAACACAAGCCGTGCATCTAAAACAACTAATAATCTAAAAAATCAGACAGTTGTTACATGAAATTAGTCGAGATACGCACAAACTAGCTTGAAATTAGTCAAGTTAATTTGTTCTCTTTTAATATGCTCAGAGGACGTTGAAGTTTGATGGAGCTTGTTTGGCATCATAGTATTCGATATCAAATTGAAAACGTCTTTTTTTTTAACCATATTTAGATAACCATACTATAATCAATTGTCACGTCAACCTTTAATTAAAGGTAATAATTATGTTTACGAACTTTTATGACATAATTTAATATGATGTCTTTTTATTATATTTTGGAATGTTTGATGTTTTTCCCTTTTTGCCCCTAAACAACCTTCTCCTAGTTCCATGGTTGTTAGAATGCCACTTCGCCCCCTTCTAACAACCAATAATAGTATTATTTAACAACTTAATTTATAAGTAAAATTATAGAGTGAAAAGTCATTTATACCCTTCAATTTCTCAAAATTAGGTTGATATTTAGAACTCATGGTTTAATATTTTAATTAAAATTTATGAAATTATTAGTTGAAAATTTTAAGGATAATCAAATCAACAAAATAAAAAGAAATGTATGGTAATTTTTTTAATAATAAAAAATAAAAAAACTTCCAAATTTAAATATAATTGACCTAAATAAAAGAATATTTCTTCTTGTGTTGTGGTTCAATTTTGTCATATCTTTTGACTAATAAATATTTTAAACGCTAAAATATAAATTAAAATTTGCAGAATAATTCAACTCTTCGTCAGACAATAATTCACTCCAAAAGTCCAAATCCAAATAAAATAATTTAAAATTAATATATAATTTTAAAATGCGAAAAATAAAAAGGGGCCCACAAATGGTAGGTACAAGGAAACGACGGTCTTGAACGAGTCCACTCACCAATTAATATTTTTTTTCTTATTTTGAAAATGCACATGCTTCATATTATGCCACGTGTATATATCACATTTTATATCTCTATTAAATTGTTATATTATAAAAGCTTCTCAAACTTTAAAAACTATTTAATAAATTTGTAAAGTTTTGATTTAGCGTCTAATAAAATATAATATTTTTTTGTTCTATAGTTATTTGACCTACTTAAATTATATATATATAAAAAAACTCGTTCCATAATTTTGGATTTATGACCTGTATAGCTAAATAAGGTTTGTGACTCAACTCAAAAGCTTCGGGTTGAATTGAGTTGGATCGTCGAATTGTTCATATTTTTAAATATTTGAAAGTTATACTCATCTGCAATACATGTTACATCGATAAATTAAAATTTCATAAAACTCAAACATTAAACCTTCATAAGACACAAGAATTGTTAAACAAATGTCTGGAGATTTTTTTTTTAATCTTAATAATAATTTTAAAATAGAATTATGAATGGGTTGATTGGTCAGATTGACCCGACTAAAATATCAAACACTGCAGTATCTAAAATATCTATTACATATATCAAAAAAAGAAAATTTGTATAGTGAAACTAATGGTGATATTTAAACACACTGAATTGTCAATTATTTCTAACGATAAATTTTATTCTTACATGACATTACAAAATATTCCATTGTGACGTTTAATCAACTTTATATAAGACTTTATGCTAATTTATTATTATTATAGTTTCACAGGGGCTATATAGTAATTTGATAGGAAGAATATAAAATCAAAACGAGTAAATTAAATTAAAGGCTTGGAAATATTTATAAAAAAAAAAAGGAATCTGAATATTTATTTAAGAAACCATTTTTTAAATTTAAAAGGATTTGTATCTTATCTCATGTGGCAAGTGCTTCTCAGAATATTTGCTTTATAAATAATATATATATATATATATAAAATATATATATATATCTTTGATTTTAAAAAATAATTTATTTAGTTTAAAAGTTTGCTCTTGTCTTATCTTTATTAATTTTCAAATGGACCATTAAACTTTGTATTAATTGAGATTATAGATGTTATAATTTTTTTAATTGAGATATTAGGTTAATAATTTAATTTCGATTGTTCAAACCGTCTATAATAAATGTGCGGAAATTAGATAACTATATTTAAATAGAAAAAATGTCTACAAATAAAGATAGTTTTGATGCTCGAAAAAACACCTTTTCCAAACAATATTTAACTTTACAGTATTAATTCTACTTTAATGTTTAAAGAAATCATTTTAATTTATTCCGTATGCTTTTCAATATAAACTATTTTTATTTCAATTTTCTACGAGTATCCGTTTTTTTTATTTTGTATAAATAATTTTAATAGTAAAAGAGAAACTCGAGAAAATATACCAGACCGAGCACGAAGCAAAGAGAAGAAGGAAATTGGTTCGAAGCCTAAATCTTCTCCCTTGACCTAACAAAGAGCCGTGATCGAGGTTAGGGTGGGCCTTTAATGCCCTCGACTTGTAGTAATTTCGTTTAGCTCGATTTGATTGTTTTTTGTAGAGGTAACACGAAAGTCTTAAATTATTTATGATATAAACATATTTATTTTTTTACAAATAATAATGGAAATTATTTTTAATTCAATTCCTTAGTTCTTCCTCTATATTAATTATTTAATCGTTCATTTAATTTTTAAAGAATAAGATTAGCTTTAGGTTAACTTTTTTAATTAACATTTAATATTTTTTATTATTTGTAGAACTTATTTTGAAAAATAAATTTAAATAAGAATAATTTAGATATTATTAATTATTCTTACCTAAAAGTTATGGCGAAATGTTAATGTCCAAATTTTGTGTGACATGAAAGGTCTGGAATGGAGGAGTTTTGTGGCTCGAGAATCTTTGAGATGGGGTCCTAACTTTCAATTTTTTCAACTTATTGATCGCGTGCAAAATACAGGTTCGTCCTCGTCGGGTCGCGGCACAATTTCTGATCCGCACACCTAATCAAGATTCACGATCTTTCTTCAATTTTCTATATATAAATGTAATGCCCCAAATCCCAATTTTCATCGTACTTCAACGAGAATCGGAAACCAGAGCATACAGAGAGAGAGAGAGAGAGAGAGAGAGAGGAGTGAAACGAAGAGATTGAGTGTGTTTGTGTATGAGAGAATTGTTTTTGCGTCTCTTTCTTGCTTGTTTGCGTCTCTCCCAGAAGTTGGAAGTTCCCATTTCCAGAAATTAACGCCTGGTAATCTCTCTGTCGTTAACCCTTTTTGACTCTGCTTTGATTGTTCTTGCTCTGGGATCCATGGCCTCGCTCTGAGTTTGGTTTGATTGTTACTTAAATGCATTTTTCTTCTGTTTTGATGGATTCTGTTTGTTTCCTCGGATTTTCTTTTTTTTTGTTTTGTCTTTTGATTACGGATACATATTGTGGGTATGTATCCCTTCTCTCTCTATCTCTCTCTCTCTGTCTTCTTATTCTTCCGATTGTTGAGTTCAATGTTGTGTTCGTGCTCAAATACTGCTATCATTTTCACTTTCGTCCTCCTTGCGCTTCAATCTCGGACTCAAACTGGAAATTTCGGGCTATAGAATGATTTATCCTTAGTCTTACGATTTTCCCGTTCATTTTTTCGTTTTTGAATCATCTAGCCATCTTGTTTGAGAAATTGTTGGTTAATATTGTTCTGTTTTGATCGAATCGTTGGAGATATATGTATCGCTTTAAATATAGTTTTTCTTTTCAACGTTTGGGGCCCAAGGGAGTGCGAATTAGCGAGGGAAGGGTGTTCCATGTCCTATTCCTTACACAGTGTCCTAATATATAGGGTTCAATATACTTGACAT